CTATTATTTTTTTTTAATAAAGGCAAGCTAGAGCTCGAAAATAGATGAAGTTCTCTTCTCCATGGATGTCTACTAAAATATCAAGAATAAATGTATACACACCATCAAATATTCAGGACTTACCTATTATGCCGAGGTGATTCGAACACCTACTTATAAATACCAAAAATTTATGTCCTACCTATTAGACTACGGCATATTATACTTCAATAGCTGTATAAAACATTAATATTTTAGGCGGCTCCTTCTGCTGGGATCAGGAGCAAGCTCCATATCCTTCACGTGGATAAGCAAGCTCTCATTTATTTTATTAATATCCATACAATACATTAAACCTATTTACGCTGCTATACTTCGTCAGAAGTATGCCAGCCGTTACAGGCTGCTTTTTGTAGCTAAAGTTACAACATTTGGATTTATTGCTCCGAGGAGCTTAGCGCTATTTTTTTTTTTTTGCATGATCCCTGCTGCATACTTCGTCAGAAGGCTACGCACGCAGGCATAAAGGCGGGCCATATCCCAGCTGCATACTTCGTCAGAAGTATGCAGCTGGGATCAGGAGCACTAAGCAGCCACCCTTAAAAGGTATTTAGTTATATTGTTGATGAAAACTAGTACTAGGTTCTGCATTCGGATGGTAATTATTTAGCTAATCTTAATTTAACTAAGGCTTCATGAGTAGATTTATAGGTTTTTAACTGATTAATAGTAGCTAAAGTGTGTTTTAAGTAGAACCTTGAGTTAGTATAATATATCCCCTCTACCCTTTTTAGTTTATACAAAAAAAAAAAATAAAAGAAGCGGCGTACTTCTAAAAAGAAGCGGCCTTATTTTCAATAGAAGCGGGCAGGTTAAATAAATCCATATTAGATTGTACTAATTGAAGTAAGTTATTACTATCGCAATATCCCTAATTTAAAATTATGATAATTGTATTTAAATAAAGCTTTATAAATATTAGTTATATTTAAGTAATAGGTATTGATACAACCTATTGCCTAAATTAACTGCACTACCTATACAACTCTTAATTAAATTACATCCCTGCTTCGCTTCTTAGTTTTTACTACGAAGTCCTGCTTAGTGCTTAGTGTGTAAACTATTATTTTTTTATAGCTATAAAAATTAAAAGCCTGGCATACTTCTGACGAAGTATAGCAGCCTGCTTTGCAGCAAAGCTCCTCCTCTCATTTATTTTACCGAGTAGCCTCCTCCTTAAAACAGGCTAATGCAACTAAAAGTTCTATTCTCTGTATATAATATAAGGTAAGCCGGCTTGAACTGGTAAGGTTTTCTTACCTTTACACCTTATATGTAAAATTAATATTAAGATCTTATAAGCAATTTATTTTAAGTTGAATACTTAATTAATGTTATTTTACTTATCTTATACTTTAAACATTATTATCTAATACCTATAATTTATATGATTCATAGTTCTTTTCTACTTTAAAGGATCTAAATTTAAACCTTCACTACTTAATGGGGAGTTTACGATTTATTGTTAAATCTTGTATTAGTTTTAAATTTAAACTACGAGCTTGCCCCACCATGAATAGCTCTACAGCCTCCTTCGCTTCTTAGTTTTTGTGCTACTATGAAATTAGACATAGCTCCTAAGAAGTAAAAACAAGAGGAGCACCGCTTTTTAATATAACCACTATAAATAACTGAGAATATTACAAACCCTACACTGTATACTGTGTTAGGCAATCATGTTAAATTATTTAACTGATTCATTATATGCTTAGCTAGCGCTGCAAGCTAAAGCTAGTCATAATACTCGTGATATTATTATACTTTATACTATATTTATAGGTAGCAAGACTTGAACTTGCACGGCTATTAACCTTTCCGACCTAAACGGAACTTGTCTACCATTCCAACATACCCATTTGTAGTAGTAGTAGTTATTAATAGTTATTTAGTACACCTTTAATTTTTTATAGCTATAAAAAATAATAGCAAGCTAAAGCTACCCTGTAATTTTTAGTTGCTTTAGCAAGCTAAGCAAGCTAAGCATAAAAAAAAAAATTAATACAAGCTAAGCACAAATAAATTAGTAGCCCTGCTAAGCAGGGCACTAAGTCTTTTCACAGATTCACCTTACATTCCTTCTAAAGAGTAAAATGTAATTATATCTAAAGGAATTACTATATTAATATTTATTCATATGTCATTTTTTTTTTTTTTTTTTTTGCAGGCTGGTAGGCTGGCAAGCGAAGCATGTCTAACACAAGCTATGTATTAAATTTTTGATTGTACACTTATACCCTAGGATATACATGGCTGTATCTCTGTAAATACATACATGGATATTTTAATACTTATTATAAATGATGGTTATACACCTAAAAATTTTAACGGCAGCTCCTCTTAGTTTGTGTAGGCTTTTATAAAAAAAAATTAGTAGGCTGGCATACTTCGTAAGCAACGCTAAGCATTAAGCAGGGCTTCGTAGTAAAACAAAGAAGGGTATTTCATAGCCATATCCCTGCTTAGCTGGGATATGGAGAAGCAGCACACTATAACCTTTTTAGAACTTGCAGGAATCGAACCTACATTTTAATGATTAAAAGTCATACGCATTCACCATTATACTAAAGTTCCTTTATGCTCGAGGTAAGACTTGAACTTACAACCAAAACAACTTCAACGTTCTGCTCTACCAATTGAGCTTCACGAGCTTATGGAGATATCAGGAGTCGATCCCAAATTAACGATATGCAAAATCGCAGTTTTACCAATTAAACTATATCCCCTTATATTTCGATATATATTTTTTTTTTAGAGGAGGAGCTTTGTGCTTTATTTTTTTTTACCTCTGTCTCCGATACTCGGTGACGAGGTAAAAAAAAAAAAATAATAGCCGCGCCTACTATAACCATAGCTAGCTCTGCTTTTTTTTTTTGTAGCTTTAGCTTCAAAAAATTCTGCAGCTGTAAAGTCCTTTTTTATTTTAACATTAAGAAATAATGTACATTAATAAACAAAGCTGCTCTTCAATTTGTGCTGCTGCTGACGAAGTATGCAGCAAAGCTAGAACACACCTCTTCGGTATTAATGTTTTTACTGACACAGATTAAGATTTAGGTATTGTAAGTGCATCTTCTTTTTCTTAGCGCGTAACTAAAAAGGCGGCTCCTTCTGCTGCTTTCTTAGCTTGCTATTATTTTTTATAGTTATAAAAAATAAAGGCTAGCTTGCTGTGTATACACCACGTACGTGTATCCTTCACGTGGATCAGGATAAGCGACGAAAAAAAAAATAGAAGCCAGTACGAAGTACAGCCTGTCAGCCAGCCTGTACGAAGTACAGCCGCGTAGCCACAGCACAACTAAAAACCAGGACTCGTCCTGTGGCTGGGAAGCGGCCTGCGAAGCTAAGATATACTTTTTTAAATCTTTATATGTATATTCCTATCTATATAGGGATTATTATAAGAATATTTTGGTTTCATGATCAATTTAATTAATTATTTAAAAAATAGTACACATATACTATATCTAAGGAGTGACTTGAACACTCACGGGCTATTCCCAGATTATCTTAAGTAATCACTGTCTACCGATTCCAGCACTTAGACTTGTTTGTTATGTTTGCCTATTTCACCTTTTCGATTAGGGCTAAAGTGACTTGAACACTTATTATTGCTGTTATGAGCAGCATGCTTTACCGATTAAGCTATAACCCTTCTTGACTTATTTTTTTATTTTTTTATTAGCTTGCTAAGCCTTTTTAGTTTTTACTTTACTAAAAAGTAAAAACCAGGACTAGCCTGTGCTAGGCCTAATAAAATAATAAAAAAATAATTAGCACATAAATTTTTAATTAATTTTATATAATCTTTATTATTATAAAATATTGATTTGTTTGTTTGTTTGTTTGTTTGTTTGTTTGTT